GGGGGGGGCAAGTGGAGAATGACGGAGATGGGAAAGGTGTTTCGTCGGGAGTGGGAAAAGCGGCACGAACTAGGCAGCTCTCCTGAGACGTTTGGCCGGTGGTGCTCTGCTAGAAGAGCCAACTTGTCGGCCTGCCGAACGAAGTCCGCCAGCGTTCACTTTAGCACGATAGCCATTGGATGTTCTCGGTGGTCGTAACCGCGATCGATCGTCCAAGAAGAGCTGATCGGAGTGATGAGCCCTTGCAACAAGCGAAGAAGCGCCACTATGCAAATATCTCCCCTCTCTCTCTCCTCCTGCTTCTTCTTCTTCTTCTTCTTCCTCCTCCTCCTGCTCTTCTTCCTCATCCTCTTCATCGTAGAAGCTCCGTCCATCATCCGCTTCATCATCATAAGCTCCTGATGCATAGTACGAATCCTCTCCTGCGTCTCGTCGGTCATACGCGTCATTGTAAGCGTAGCCCGACCTGCTTCGCACGTCTCTCTGCCAGTCGTACTGCGGTGGTGCTCGACGAGCAGGCAGCCTAGAACGCTCATAGTCACTCCAGCGGCTCCTCGCACTTTCCGCAAATCGAGTCGGCGGCGCTTGATTCGCCACCACATCTGCTCTAAGCCTAGCATTCTCTTCTCGAAGTCTCTCCATCTCCGCCCTCAGCATCCTGTTCTCCGCTCTCAACTCCGCCACATCGTCCCTCGTGCCCAAATTCGGCATGTCCACTTCTCCTCTGGCTATGCTCAACAGCCTCCTTTCGTCCTCTTGGGCCTTTTCTCTCCTTCTCTGCGCCTGCAACCTGTTCCGCTCCCTCTTCCTAGCTTGCTTGATCTCAGGAGACAATGCAGGCCTCCCTCGAACTTGCACCAGGGAATCTGGCGCTTCGGCCCGTAATCGTGCTCTTGCGCGCTCTCTTCCCAGCCTTTTTCTCTCCGCTTCTCTAGCCCTGAGAGCAATTGTAAGCTCCTCCTCGTCCATGAGCACAGGAAAGTCTTGCGAGTCGGAAGTTGTTTCACGGGCTTTGCCTTTCCTGCTCGTTTCGGGAGATGCGCTTCTCTCCACGACGCGCGGCTGAAGGCCAGCTTTTGGCCGTTGTGTAGAATCAGTGGCGACATTCGTGACCGACGCTGCGGTGTCCGTAACCCCGTTCTCGCGTCCAGCTTGATCAGATCGATCTGGTTGCACATATCCAAGCATGTGCATGTTTGCTGACCCGTCGACCAGACGCTGAAGATCTCGCGGCAAAGAGTGCGTGCTCTGGGCAGCAGTAGACATGCTTGGGGCTGGGTCGCCTTCTTGAGGAGCCGGAACATGATTACTGCGAGGCGTCGCACTGTAGCCGCTAGCTGGAGTGTACATTGTGCGGGCCTCAAGAGCAAATTGCTCCTTTTGCGACTGCACAGTGGCATTGTGCGAAATGGAAAATGGCGTGGCCTGATTCTGCAGCTGAGATGGGGTCAGAGGCCTGGACAGGGATGTGCTACGCGCCGCAGAGGTGCCGGGAATGTTCTTGGAGACATACTCGTGCACGGCAGCGCTCCAATCTGGATCCATAGGGTCGTCCTCGTCGCCATAGGGTACATCCAAGAATGAGAATGTGGGATCGAATGCAGTGTGCTGCCGAAATTGAGTCGCGTCACTCGATGTAGCTGCCAAACAAGGGCCCGTGCCCTGGTTGCTGGACCATTGTACAGATCCCAAGGGGCCGGACATTGAAGGTTCCCACGGCGCGGCGGAAGAAGACGTCACGCTTGCGCGATTTCTGAGCGCAGATCCGGTAGTCTGGCCCCTCTTTCCGCACAGGTCGAGCAAGGTGTTGAGGACATTGACAGCATCTTGCCACCGAATGTCACCGCTAGCAGACATGGGTTGACCTGTGAGGTTGGCCACGACCTTCATTTGCTCCAACACGATGGGCTGCAAGCGAAAGCAGCACGAAAGATCAGAACACTACTCTTGATGTTCTAGTCCGACGAGAGAGGTGCTACTCACCTGCAAGTAGGCAGGAATGGCCTCTTGAGTCTGATGAGGATCGGAAGAGTGACCGGCAGTGGTGCGACGTGTGCGTTTCCTAGATTGCATCTCATTCTCCGCTTGAGCTTCCTCCGATGCCGCAGTGGAGCTGAGTGCGCCCATCACATTGGAAATCACAGCTATAGCCTTGTCGATAGCTTGCGCACCGGGTGTGGGTGCTGCATGTGTTCCGCCTGGGGTCAGACCAGATCCATCGTCCATGGGCGTGGGTTGCAAGAGACTCTGCAAGAAATTGGGATCATCCAGGTAGGTCATCACTTCTGGCACGTCTTCAGCCTCCCCTTCGCTTCCTGCTTCCTCATCTACAGGCGAGGACATGGGCCCTCCCGTATTGGCCCCCTCTGCCATTGGCTCTCCCTCGTCCTCCTCCTCTGCCTCCTCCTCTTCATCTTCATCTTCATCTTCATCTTCATCTTCGTCATCGTCTTCATCGCCCTCCACAGAAGTGACCGAAGCGCCCGAGGCCATAGTGCGCAAGTTTTGAAGGTCATCGCCCCTCCATTCGGGCGTGCCCTTGCTAGAATTCGAAGGGGTTGCTCTACGACTGCTGACGCTGCTTGGAGGTGGCATGGATCGGTCCGGTCTGGCGCTCACAGCAGCAGCGGCGGAGGAGGAGGAAGAGGCGAGACTGGGCATAGCTGCCAGCTCCATCATGCTGTTCCCAAAGAAAGATGCGGGCGACTGCATGCTGATGGGTGCGCTTGGAAACGCTCCTGGGGTGCGCGGAGCAAGCATCCTATCTTCGACCATGGCTTATAGTCGAGCGCCTGGCGCTCGCTCGCCTCAGTCCAACTCGGCTTGGCGGCTTGGCGTGAATGAGCTAAATGTTCAGATGTGAGATGTTTGGTGCCAGAGCTACGGACATCGTGGCGCAACAGGGACGATCGAAGTGTCTGCAGGCAAGAATCACAGCGGAAGAGCGAGGTGTGAGTTGGTCAGGTGAAGCGTCGCCGCTAGGGGAGGCAGACGATCCGACTGAACGGGCGGTCAAGAGCAGCTGAGGGCGAGTGAGTCGGTGATCAGCAAATGAAACAGTGAGAGTGCCAGAACCTCGAGAAGAGCGACAGTCTGAGTGTGGTGTGCAGGATGAGGGTGAGGGTGATCTTGGCCAAAAGGCGTGTGTGGCGCTGCTCTTCTACGTTGCACACTGCACAGGGCAGCATGCACGCATAGACAACGCGGTTCAGTCTGCGCATTTCTAATTTCACGACATTCACATTCACATTCGCGATTTACGCGTCGCGCAGCTCACGCGCTGTGCACACCCCAACCATGATCACGTGCAGCAGCACCGCGTGCGCCTTCTACGTTGGGTGGATGATGGCATGGCGACCGAAGCTGCAAACCTTCAAAGGAGGCTTCTTGTCCCGCTTTCGCGCACATCAAGGTCACACACACATCCTCAGTCTACCCACGACGGAGGCTTCTCAGCAGCTGCGCTCAACATCGCGGTACATTCTCCAGACAAGTCGACCCAGTCCGTTGCACTTTGTTCCTTCCCCCTTCAGACCTTTGAGCATGTCTTCCTCCCGCGACCCAACCGGGCGCAAGTCTCGATGGGAGGAGGAAGAAGCATTCAGACCTTTGCGTCAGAGCCCTTCTCGCAGGCACGAGCGAGGTCAGAATTGCCATAATTCACCTGGACAGAGCAGCCAACATATGGAT